TTACAGAACTTTATATAGAAATATGCCTTACAAAACTTTATATAGAAGTATGTCTTACAGAACTTTATATAGAAATATGCCTTACAAAACTTTATATAGAAGTATGTCTTACAGAACTTTATATAGAAGTATGTCTTACAGAACTTTATATAGAAGTATGTCTTACAGAACTTTATATAGAAGTATGTCTTACAGAACTTTATATAGAAATATGTCTTACAGAACTTTATATAGAAGTATGTCTTACAGAATTTTATATAGAAATATGTCCTACAGAACTTTATATAGAAGTATGTCTAACAGAACTTTATATAGAAATATATATATATCTTTGATAAATATGTTTGGATTATGGCTTTAAATACCATAACGTGATAAACTTTGAAAGTTTTTATAATGTTCCAGGCCTAAAACAAACTACGTATGACCACTTTTCCGAAACTCTCTGACAACGTTGATGAATATAAAATTTGATTTTTTTCAACTAGTCCTATTTATTCTACTCCGAATTTTCATTCATTTTCTCTGTTTTAAATGTCACTTTTAAAAATTGATAAAATCAAAAGCTAGAAATGTTTCTCTGGCTCAGTTTAACTTATTGTAGTTTTTCTGTTCGTTTTAGTTGAAATGCTCAAGATGTTCGAAAGTCTGAAGAAATGTAAAATTGTGCTGCTATTTCAGATATATTTTAAAGGAGAAAATTGTACCGAAATTCGCCTGTAGATGGCGAACACTACGATTCGTAAGATAAATGTATTAACTCATGATTGCGTTACAAGAAAGTCACTGTTGGCTAATTTAAACTGCATTTACACTTGCGTAAGAAAGTGAGTAACCTATGGAACATAAAGTCCAGTATAGATTACAACCAGAATTTTCTAGTTTGAATCTTGGGTAATAGTATAACCTCAATTTCTGCTGGTTATCTTTATTTCCTCTATCCCTCGGCTGGTGTAATATATCTGAACCGGAATGGTAGGTGTACTAAGGCATTGCGATTCTAATAATACGTTTCAAAATAATTATCTTAGCAGTAATCTTGAGGGCTAAAATACGGGGTTCGATCCATACGATGGGCACAGCTTAAAGAGTAGGTAGAAAGGGTGTTGAAACACCGTATTCAACATTTTAAAGTTATTTACATTCACTTATTAATTAATAAAGAGTAGCCTAAAGAAACAGTATAAATTCTCGTCTCTTAAAAGTTACCGTTCGTGAACATTTTGTGAACTTGTACCAACTGATCTTCTTCAATAAATAACTTTGTGATTAATACTAGCTTTAGGTTTCGGAAAACCGGTGCAGTGATTAACAGTTTAATACACTGTTTAATTGGACATGCTGTGTAAAAATGTGCAGTGGCTAACAGTTTAATATACTGTTTAACTGGACATGCCGTGTAAAAATGTGCAGTGGCTAACAGTTTAATATACTGTTTAACTGGACACGCTGTGTAAAAATGAGCATGATAGTAGTCAGTTAAATGTTCTGGTGAGTTGAACTGGACCGTCATCTGTCACTGGACAGTTCGACCCCTAGTGACACAGCGGTATATCTGCGGGCTTGCAACGCTAGAAACCGGGTTTCGGTACCCGTGATGAGTAGAGCACTAATAGCCAATTGTGTAGCTTTGTGCTTAATTTCGAACAAACACTGTACAGCTCACACGTGATATTACACAATTCGTCCCATGCAGTTAGTGCTATCAATTTTAAATGTCGACGAGAAAGGATTTTTTAACAATCTACATCCATATATAATGTTTTTCTGTGCTAACTTTATTAGCAAACAATAATAATTATTGTTTAATTTGGAAACAACTAGAAATTAAAATCTGACTTGGATGTTCATCGTTACTTAACTGGTGCTTCAACCCTATCGTTTAAAAGCCATTTTGGAAATCAATAACTGAACAATGACGTACAATAAATTATGTAATTTATACTGATTCCATATAGAAAAAAACCTAACAATTGTTGAAAATGTATGTAAACGTTCTGTGGTTTGTGTTTGCCAAGTATATGGCCTCATATAAACTGTTTCCATGTAGAAAAACCCGACAGTTTTTTTTTTATCATTTTTATTGGTTCATTCTAAGAACGCCCACAATAGCACAGCGGTAAGTCTGCGAACTTATAACGCTAGAATCTGGATTTCAATACCTGTGGTTGGCCAAAAACACATAGCCCACTGTATAGCTTTGTGCTTAACTAGAAACAAACAAATAAATCAAAAAATGAGTTACTGAGGAAATAAATTGATATTCAATTGTTGAAAAACTGGTGAACTTGACAATAATAAGGATGTAGGCACGATTATATAATTTGACGATTTAGAAAAATATAAATAAAAACACATTTATTTTTTATTCATTGCTCATCTGATGTATCATATTAAATGCTAATTACTATTATTTTGTTATTTTAAACTAAGTTATAGTTGCTGTGACTCTCGATAAGAATTTCGAAAAATTAAGAGATGCGAAGCTGGCGATCTGGGTTCGAATTCGTGCGACACCACAAGATTTCTCCGACTTCAATGTTGAGGCGATACTACCTACTGTTTAAAGTGGTCATTGATGTGGGGTATATTTAATGTCGGGGTATTATTACCTACTGTGTAAAGCGGTCATTGATGTGGGGTATCTTTAATGTCGAGGTATTATTACCTCCTGTTTAAAGTGGCCATTGATGTGGTGTATCTTTAATATCGAGGTATTATTACCTGCTGTGTAAAGTGGTCATTGATGTGGGCATTTTCAATGTCGAGGTATTATTACCTCCTGTGTAAAGTGGTCATTGATGTGGGGTATGTTTAATATCGAGGTATTATTACCTACTGTGTAAATTGGCCATAGATGTCCCCACATCAATGACCACGTTACACAGTAGGTAATAATACCTCCACATTAAATATACCCCACATCAATGACCACTTTACACAGTAGGTAATATTACCTCGACATTAAAGATACCCCACATCAATGGCCACTTTACACAGTAGGTAATAATATCTCGATATTAAAGATACCCCATATCAATGACCACTTTACACAGTAGATAATAATATCTCGACATTAAATGTACCCGATATTAAAGATACCCTACATCAATGGCCATTTTACACAGTAGGTAATAATACCTCCACATTAAAGATAACAGTAGGTAATAATATCTTGGTAAAGTGGTCATTGATATGGGGTATCTTTAATGTCGAGGTATTATTACCTACTGTGTAAAGTGGTCATTGATGTGGGGTATATTTAATGTGGAGGTATTATTACCTACTGTGTAACGTGGTCATTGATGTGGGGTATCTTTAATATCGAGGTATTATTACTTACTGTGTAAAGTGGTCATTGATATGGGGTATCTTTAATATCGAGGTATTTTTACCTACTGTGTAAAGTGGTCATCGATGTAGGGTATCTTTAATATCGAGGTATTTTTACCTACTGTGTAAAGTGGTCATCGATGTAGGGTATCT